TCCCCCACTGCCAACGTCCTGCAACATACTTCCTCTCAGACCACTCCCACTCAATTCCACACTCAAGCCACACAGACCGACACCATCATAGAGACTCTACGTCTCCATGAGGAACAGCAGACCACTCCACACCCAGAACCTTGGTCAGCCGCCACCCAAACCGACCGCCTCACTTCTCACGCCACAGCCCAAACTGAACTCCACTCTATCGTTCTCTCCCCAGCTTTCGCCACCCCCAACCCATTGGTCACACCTACCATTCCTACCACAACCACGGACCACACGTCGCACCTCCACCTACCGCTGCCACTTCCCTTTCCAACAAGCAGCCCAACACAGACCCGGCGCAATGGCAGTACGCCAACTTCATTCCCACCCCACAGGTGGACCAGTGTCCCGCTCCAGCGGGACCATCAGACTTCACGTCCCCCATCGTAGGCGCACCCAAGAGCCCCCGCTCCAAAACACCACCACGCTCAACCACCCCCCCTCGCACCCGCTTCAACCAAGGCCGGCCTTCCACACATGCCGAGCCCCGTCGTGGCTCCCCTGTGCCAAAGCCACGAGCCACTACCTCCACTCATTTTCAACAACCACTCCAACCGCCGCCAACATATCCCGCTCCACAGATGGCTGCACCGCCACCCGGCTCATACTACACCACACCACCACCTCCAGTTCAACTTCCATACGCTCCTCCCACACCTCCAGCATCCATTCCCCCCACACCCCATGCTTGGCCGGCACAGTATCCAGTCCCAAAACCGGCACCGCCGACCCTCCAATTTCCTCAGCCATCACCACAGGTCAACCCTGGACAACACCTCATCTACAACAACCCCAATCCCCAGCAGCAACGAGGTCACGTGCCGCTCCATGCTGAGAACTATGACCCAGCGAACGACCCATGGAATAACTACGGCGCCGACGAGCAGCCATAGTGAGAGCTTCTTTTGGCCACTTACCAGGTTCTGATGACAACTGTTTTCCAATTTGTTCAACATCACTTGTCTTCTCTACTTGTGGCCTTGCTGATCCTCCACCAACACCAGCTGTTTCACTCGCACCACGAGAAAAAATCAGCAGCTGCCCTCCAGACCATGGCATACTTTCAATGTCACCGTGATATCAACATGGTTTGTTGCTACTTGCAGCTGCTTCCGCTGTACCTATTCGATTTACTCAAACCTCATTTCAGTCCAGCAGATACCACCTTTCATGGTTTAATCAAGCTACAGTCTTTTAATCAATGTACAGGTTTTGTTTTCCACGTTCATTGCAGGTTGCTTCGGTCTTTCATTTCAGCTTTCTTGCTCAAAACTGACCGCTTCCCGCCATCATCTTCGTCCTCTACCTGTTTCCATCATGGACGCCCAGTGGCAACAGTATTACTGGAACCACTACTTACTTCAGCAGCAACAGCACCAGCTTACCTCGGGCACAGATACCGCCCACTACACGCCGACAACCGCCTATGGCCCCATGAGCCATTCCATTCGCATGCACCAACAGCATCAGGCTCACCCCTACACGCCACCGCCTTCGACATCACCAACAACTCACACACCGCCGCCAAACACCTCTCCCTCCTTCCCACCGCCGCCACCGCCTCCACTCCCTACGGCCTCACCAGCAACACCACAACAGAAGTCCTTCAAGCACAGCCCCACTCACGCGGCTCCACCGGCACCTCCTCCTACAGTTCCATCTCCAACTCCAACCATCCAAGAATCTTGGCACTCCACGGATTCCTGTTGGGATTCCAACGCCATTCACGGACATCAACTCCACCGTCACATGCAGCCTACCCAATGGTCCCGACGCGTCGGGATCGCAGGCTTGCCGACTTTTGAGGTATTCCCTTGGTTACTTGCGTACCATGGGACGGCGGACTTCACTGCCAGAACACTCAGTCACGGCAAGTTTTGCGGGCTCATTCCTACCAGGAGTGTTGCCGAGTCAGTTTTCACCACACACACCTCCTTCAGGAGATTCGCGATAAGCGGCTGGACTTAGACGCTATCGCCGAGGCCATGCACACCAAGGCCGGTACCACCACCCCCAGCAAAACCACACAAGCACGAGCATTCCACTCTCCCCTCATCACACTTTTGACAGACCAAATGCAGGCCCACTCTCCTGCCGTTGCCGAAGGCTCAGCCATCCGAGCGCTCAAAGCCACCTCCGATGATCTTGCCCGCGCCCGGGAGAAACTCCAGGCACATGGATTGGAACTTACCCCCAAGAAAGACAGCGGCCGTCCAAGCGCTCCCTCTGCTCCAGCCGACCCTCCTGCACCCCACCAACCACCAGCACTTCCTGATGTGCTCCAACCGTCCTACCCCACCCTCAAGGACGACGCCCCTGAAGCATGGACCGCACCCTCCATCCAACAATGGACGCGGACCTTTGAGCCCAAAATCCAAGAAGCCGCTCAGGAAATCTTGCGTCTACTCCAGACTAGCAAAGTTTCCACTGACCAGCTCAAGGAGATACGGGCTCCCACTGGTTCGGGTGAATAAGCTCTCGATCAAGAGCCTCCAACACATCGTCAGTGTGGGGGCTGCCATCGCATGCTGACTAGCCTTGACCAGCCAACACCAGCCGCACCACAATCAACTCCACCAACTCTTTCGTTTACACCAAGCCCTTTCCACTCTCATCCATTACAGCCAATATATTGAACGTGCCGAGGCCCTCTTTGCTGTGGGCCTCATCCACCTCACACTTCTTTTTTGCTACCCTTCTTCTACCCAACGTTCCCGGCAATGGCGTCAACGACTTCAACACCTCCGAATCCAACCTCACACTTACCACTACCACAACTTTCTCTCATCCAATGCAGTGTATGTCAAACTCTACTTCAACCCCACGACCCCACAACGATGCTACCATCAGCACGGCCACTTTTACATTGGCTCTACTGGCATCGGCATCCCACACAGAGATCACAACCGTCGGGCAAAATTAAAACAACTGCAGAACAACGTTCCAATTTCCGCAGAACTTTCCCTTCGCTACTGGCACTCCCACAACAACATCCACCAATTTACACCCATTCAGCTTTCTTCACATGACACATACGATCAAGCTTGGATCCAAGAACACTACCTTATTTCCAACTGGATGCCGCCACTCAATTGGCCTTTCATCTCCCACCACCTCAAGCTCAAAGCTCAAGGTTGGCAGTTCACAAAACACCGAGCCCACTTCTACTCCCGCCTGGCAACTCACAAGCGACTTTTCCGAAAGCTCCGCAGACGGCAGCATGCCATTCATGAACCACATCTCTTTACCTCCACTCGACTACACTCCCTCACTCTTATTCGCAACCTCACCAAACACACACGGGCATCCTTTGAAGCAGCCAAACAATTACGTAGCGGCAAGCACACTGACCTGGAAGTCTACGCCATCCGACGAATGGCATCCAACTTGGAAGAGCCTGGCCGCAGCAGAGCGCTCCACATCATCAACCAAGCCCTCCAGTACCGCAACCTCAGCCCACCCAAGCCCAACATCCCTCTCACCGTACCATTCTTGGCCCACGAGCAGTTTCCCAAACACTGTGAGCAGTGGCTGAAAACCACAATACAGCACCACAAGCACCTGGCCATCCCGCTCCACCTGCCTACTCACCGTTTGCGGGAAGCAGCCCACAAGACTCTTCGGGCCCATCTACACAACCACCGCACCTGGGAGGGTACGCTTTCAAACCCTCCGACCTCCAGTGACCTGCCATGCGCATGCGCCCACCTCAAAACCATTCTCCTTGATCCAGACACACCCACAATCGGCAACCACTACATCCTCACCCTTGAACAACTCGCACTACCACCACACCTCCGCATATTCTTGGCAGCCAACATGAACAGCACCTTTTACCCCAGCAAAGCCAGGTACTTCCTTGCATTCCAGACGGCCTTCACAAAATGGCTGCGCATTCAAGGCCTTCCACCTTCTCTTACACAGCATTTGGAACCCTTCCTCCAGCACCAATGGCGGCTCCATACTGACCATTTGAAACACCAACCCCGATTCACAGCCCGCCTTCTCCGGCAACTCCAGGAATTCCTGGGTGACCAAGTCGTCCTTCACCATGCTGATCACGAACTGCAGCAGTTACGCATCTTCTGCCCCCGCCAATACTTCACCGGGGCGCTGGCTACTTGGCAGTCGCCGGAACTCTTTGCTCCCATGCCAACACTCCAATTGTCCAACATTCACGAACACCTGACACACACTATCCCCTCCAGCCTCCGCACACGCTACAAATGGGGCTTTAGAAAAGACTTCACAATTCCCTACGGCATTGTACACCTCAAGCCGATCACGGCGTATTGTGTGTGGCACCCCCTGGCTCTAAGGGCTTTCCCCACCTTCACCACTTTTCCACAGGCAGGGGGCATGGCAGCTGTTTCCCTAGCCATGCCAACGAAGCTATGGGATTCAGCCGGAAGGGAATGTGGACGCACATTCCTGTACCTGCAACGTGAACTTTTGGTCAAGCTGTCCACTACCGCTTTTTTGTTTCCATGGTAGTTCATGCTTCCTCCCCTAAACCCACTTTCCTGCAGCTGAGCTTGTCACCGCACTGATTGTACAGATCGATTTCGAGGCCATTCGGAAACATTTTTTAAACAATACTGTTTTGCCGACTTATGCACCTTTCCGTTCCCTCACCTTCCTTCCCATCGTGGCAATTGAGTCTAACTGAAAACCCAAGTTCGAAGTGTGTCTGTCCAGCGGGTGAACCAACAATCCATGGCCAAAGATTGCTTGGAGCGTGAGCTAGACTGTATAACTGATTGGCAGGAAACACAAATCCGAATGAAGGATTTGAAGAGTTCTGATCACTCTGACACCCACAACCGCATGGCTGCCAACAGCAAGTCGGTCCACATCAAGGCTGGCAGCAGCTTTGTCAACATCGGGACGGTTAAAAAACAAGTTGCTCCTCTGGATTTACGACAATCCTCGTGCAAATGCGTGTTTGATCAAAGGACCCGTTTTTTCAAGTGATGCTGCCACATCCTTGGTGCCGAATGTCAACAATGGCATCACAAGGGATTGTCCTGGCAAATTTACCTGAGAGCGCTGAGCAACAGCTACTGGAGCAAGAAGCAACAAGTGCAAATGTGCAAAACGAATGAAAATTGTCCAATCATGCAGAGTGAGTTAAGCGATGTGTATACAAATTATGCACTCTCCATGCCGTGCCACCAGCCGTACCCGCCATAGCCGCCGTAGCCACCACCTTTTCCCTTCATTCCCTTGCCATAAGGGCCCATCATTCCTTCCACATGCAAGATCTCTCAACGCACGCAGACTTGGCAATTTCTTTGCATGGTGAAAAACTGTGTAGGTCCTCCTCCTCCTCCTCCCCCTGCCATCATGCCGCCCTTCAGGCCGCCCATCATACCCATTGCACCTCGAAGTAAAAGGCTACGACGGCTACGACGGCTACGACTACAAAGCGCGACCACAAAGTAATGCAAAAGGGTAAACCACTGAAAGGGTGCATATTGCGACAGGACACCCATGCCACATCCCATGCCTGTCAAGCGAAGACTGTCCAAGCCCAAGCGGTTTCATACTCAAGCCCTATCAACAAAAACAAATCATGCGTCACCGCGATCAGATGCGATCAGAATGCACTACATGAAAGATCGGTCGGCGCACCTCCCATCATCCCCATGCCCATGCCACCATAGCCCTTGCCCATTCCACCTCGAATTGGATAGTGGCATTTCCCCTCTGAAAGAAGCGAAACAAAACGTCAGCCCACGTCACTTCTGCACAACACCTATCTATCGTCTATTGTCATCTATTGGGCTCAATACACGTTATACAAAAGTGGCACAAAATGGTAATTCGATGTATTCTGGGTAAAAATACACGTCCAAGGATCCCATGCCAGGCTGGCTCATTGGAGCCGTGCCACCCGTGACATTCTTGGCCTGGTACCTCGGCACCGGCGAGCCGTATCGTCGAGGTACATGCTGCTCACCACGTGAGCGGATTCGAAAACCGCTATTACTCTTTTGTATAATCCAGGTTTGCTTTCGCAGGGGCTTTCGCGGCGGCTTTCGCGACGATTCGTTTTCGATTGGGAAATTCGATTGGGATATATTGGGATAATGTAAGTTTCCTTTGGGTCACTGTCCGGGCTTCGTTGGGCTCGGCTCCATGTCAAACTTCACGACATCGCCCGCGTTCGGTAGCGTGCCTGGTGGTGTAAAGCAGTGAACAAAATGTTTGGAAGCTGTTGAAGCTGCTTGGAGCCCCGCCTACGCAGCCCTTCATGTGGACAAAGATCTGAACACAGGAAGTGATCAAAAAGATTGGAGGGTGAGCTGGCATGCAGGATGCATTAGGGATTGAACACCGTTGACAAGCACCGCCAAAAGCTTGCAAATCACTGATGTCAAATCCCAAAGCTTACATTGGAATCACTGAGAGAGAGAGAGAGAGAGATATATATATATATATAACACCTGCGTCATGAGCCAAGGCACGTCTTCCATGCCATCTGCTTGAATGAAGCCAAAACCCTTCTGGGCCTCGGAAGTGACTCAAGCATGACCTGCGTTGGTACATCTTGTCGGAGGTCACAGGTTGTCAGGGTCTAGCAAGCAGAGCAAGCCAGTCGTACTATAAGCAGTCGTGCCACAAGTGTTCTAGGCCCTAGGCATGTCAGCCTAGCCATCCTAGTAACATTCACATGGCTCCCGGGCATTGAAGGACTTCACAGTGCCTCGGTTGGCCAATTCTGTCGAAGTATGCTACTTGAGATGCAAATGAGAATGTGAACGAGAAGAACCCTTGCCCAGCCTGTGTACGCACCAGTGCCCTCCACTGGAGTGACCTGCGGCTACGGGCCAACTAGAATCATGTGGGGCTCTGGTGTTTATTTTTGACGACAGTACAGTATATAAGCCGTTAGGCATGCTTCCTTACCGCTTCCCCATGTCCTGCCTTGCCCATCATGGCATCTTGGGTTCTTGGGGCTGAGCCTCCGCTTACATTCTTCGCCTGGAAAGACTTTGTCCCTATTTGTGGTTCTGCAGTTCTATGCTTCAATTCAAGGTATTCAAGGTAGGGCCATTCCAAGAGATGCAGACACATCTGGCACCTTATACTTTCCAGGTGCTGACTCCTCCAAGTCAAATGTTAACCTTGGCTCCATCCATCCCTATGCCCTATGCCCTATGTCGGAAACTGCACGCAAATTGCCGCTCCAGGTTTCAGCACTAGTTGCAAGTCTTGCCACAGCTGTTTCCGGCACTCATCTTCTTACCCGCAGCTGGTCACAATGCAGCTTGAGAACGCATCACCTGGAGCTGGCTGACCTCCGACGCAATCCTTGATGTGGACAAACACATCCTGCCAAGCGAAATGGATCAGGTGCGGTGGCAGTTTGAATTGAAGGCATGTTTCCTATTATGCCGTCCTGACCGCCATAGTCAATGAACCCCCAGCCCTTCATGCCTCGGAAAACAAGAGCAACGGCTACAATTGTATAACATGACAGAATCGTGAAGTTGAACTCCCGCCCACAGAGTATCAGCCAAAATGCCGTTGAAGGACTTGCATGGGCCTGACAGGGTCGATAATGTGTGCTCCTTTGTGCAAATGAATAGTTTTTAGGGAATTCAAGCGGGTGGGCATCTGTCAAAAACTTCGGAAAAAGAAACGTCGCTTCTGCTCGAGCAGGAGGGGACTTTGTGCCGAGCAGCCGGAAACGGACATTGTGCGATTCGGAAGCTGCGAGAATGGGACGGAGAGGTCACTTTGGGCCAAAATCGCTGCGACAAATCGCACTGCAACATGTCATCTGCATATGTTCTTGCTTGCTTAACCAGCCGACAGGGAGGGAAGTTGGATTAAGGCAAGCTCAGGCTCTCAGAGACTGAAAGCATCTAGCATCTAATAAAAGCAACCATGGGCTCTGGGACTTCAGGCTGATAAACAAGCGAGAGCTTTTCATAGTTCAACGAAGCTTCTGCCTGGTGGGGTTCTTGTAGAACACTGTTGAAACAACCTCAATGCAAGGACAAACCATGGCACAACCTCACATCCATCTGCTATCACACTCTCGAAGGAAAAAACAAAAACTTGCTTCGTGAGGTCGTGGCAGGCTATTCTGTTCGTCAGAAAACGGCGGAACTGGCTTCTTGCACAAAACGGACGGCCATGAATTGTAGGTTCATCTGCTGAGGCAGACTCTAGATCTCAAGCTGTTGGAGAAAAATTGCGTCACATCTAGCAAATGCTTGCTGGTTGCATGTGTGGCTTTGATAAGAAAAGCCTCGAGTTGGAAATCCAGCAGCTAGCTGCTGACACATGCACAATAAAATACTTATGTAAAAAGCGGGGGCATTGTTTTGACGCGGTGATACTGGAATGCTCACGGAACTGCACCTAGCACCAGTGCTTAGCACATGGCTCTACAGTTTGGGGCTGGACTCTACAAGCCCGAAGCTACGGTGGGGTGTGCCCATCTGCCCCCTCGTTCAGTGCGTGGAACGGAATTCCTATGTTCCATGCGGGCACGTACCGGGCCATTCCTGTGTAGCCATGGTAAATCCAAATTTGGTGCCGCTCTCCTCAGGGAAGGACTTACCTTGGCACCTCTGTCATGGCTTTCGGCTCCTACACGACTAGCATCTGGGCTAGATGATGGTCCTGACTGTGGCCCTGTAGTTGGCGCCTCGTCAGGCTTCCTGGGAGCATAGGACCGAGGCTGCGATATTATCCCTGGTCCGTGGCTCCTGGGTGTCTCTGGTCGAATCGACCTGGCTGTTTCGGGTCGAATCGACCTGGCTGTTTCGGGTCGGATGCTCCTGGCTGTTTCGGGTCGTGTTGGGCCGGAGGGGGAGAGCTGGCATGGGCCACCGCCACGAGGGCCACGAGCACTGAGTGCCTCCATGACACGTGCTACGTGGCCAGGTGCGGCTCCAGGGGCACGAGCGCTCAGTGGGCGCTTCACTTCACTCTTGCCCAGAGGAAGCTGCCTCACGATGTTGGCAGGGTTTGCCGAAACTGGGCGTCTGCGGATGAACACTTTCTCAGAAGAACAAGAGGAACTTGGAGATTCTTCACGCTTGGAAGGCACTGAGAAACGAAGCTCGGTTCTGTGGCTTACCCAGTCATGGGAACACACATTGCATGTACCGGGATCGTGGTATGTCTGGCAAGTACATCCAGCCACCTTGCATGCAAAAAAGGCCTTGGCGCTGTGGTCAACACTGCTGTGGCCACAGGTGCAAGTGGAGTGAGGCCGGACATAATTGAATCGGACGCATAAGCATGAAGACTTTTGGCATCTTTCCCAACCATCCTGGGATGGAGTTTCCAGAGACTTGTGCTCACTGAGTGGGTGCCCACAAAAGCACAGAGAGTGAGGTCCTGGCTGGATGCATGGAATCACCCGGTCTTTGCGGGCACCTGGAGAGTATCCTCCCATGGCAGCCATCTCACAGACGTGGCACGCCCACACTACAAGACGAGGAGGCTCAGAGGGTTCAACTGGAATTACGCGCTCCACGTTTTTGCACCATCTGGCTCTACGTTTCTGCCTAGTAGAGAGCTCCGGCTGGTCAAAGCCCGGTTTGGGCTGCTGTGGGGGAGTGGGAACAAAGAAAGTGCTGCTTCTGAGCCTCTCCAGAAGGAGATTCTTGGCTGATGTGATGTCACGAAAGCGTTGCTTGGCATCCTCTTCACTCTTCCCACTCTTGTGTAGGTGCTTGTCGGGGTGGCACAGCAGGGCCATGCGCCGGTATGCACGGCGGACGGCTGCAGCATTGTACGCTTCGGCTTCAGCAAGGCCCAGCACATCTCGAGCGCCGGATTCATCCATATCTCAAAGGCCATTGCGATCCAAGGGTTTTCCGTTTTCAGAGTCTGCTTAGTCTGGTTTTCCAATGGCTTTCCTTGGCCACTTGTTCTTGAATTTTACACAAAGGCATATGTTCTCAGAGAGTGACATGAACAGTCTGGCGTTGACTGGCTCTGGGAAGGACTGAAATATAATAGTGTTTTCTGGGTGGTGAAGTCCCATAATCCAGCTTGAGCCTGCTCTAAAGCAGCCCCACAAGGCAGACTGACCGAATCCCTGATGCAAAACGGTGCGTCATTGTGGGCACTGCCCAAGGAATCAGTTGGTTCTTGTTTTCCGCTTCCCTGACAGGGTTCACGGCCGAGGCTGCTATCGCGGACCCACGTGCTTGCGGATCACTTCAGCTGCAGCCTACAACAAAGAGCTGGGACTCCAGGATGTCAAAGGCACCTTTTAAACTTGATTGGCCTTGCAGTTGCGGTTCAAAGCCACATCCAATGCCGTCTTGTCTTCAAAAGCAAAGCTCCAAGCCTTAAACATTGTGAAATCACACAGTTCCCGTAAACCAGTCATGGCTGGCAGTTGAGTGAGACGACGACTCTTCGGTTGCCCTCTACAAACTCCGGATGGGATAAAATCTTCTCGCAAACCTCGGCTAAGTCCTGCCAAATGGGAAGGAAACCGATGCAAGAAGCCATCCAAAGCATGCCCCAACGGGCATGTGTATGTGTTTTTGTATATATATACAAAGACTCCAGCACTCCCCACCTGGTCCGCTGCCCAATGAAGCGCCGTGGCACCCCACTTGTCCTGGGCATTGATACCTGGACCGCTTGAACTTCGCCAACGAGAGCAACAGGCTATGCTCGCAGGGCCGAGAGTATTAGAATTCTAATTATATAAATTCTTATTTTTACTAGTAGTAAGGCACTTGCTTCTAATAGCTTCTTTGTTACTACTAGTAAGGCACCTGTTACTACTAGCGTGGCAGTTGTTACTAGTAGCTTCCTACCCCCTCCCCTATGCTCGCAGGGACGAGAGTTTCCAAAAGGGCTGCGCCAAGGCCTACGAAGTCATCCCTGTCAAGGATGGCTTTGCACACCTGCGGCACAGCCCAAAGGCATCAAGATCAACAAGTAACAAGCCTATCCCAACATCACATTGCCACCAGGTACCACGCAGCCTGGGACATGCCCTTGGAGGCGGCAAGAATCAGCTGCGTGTAGCCAAACCTTGGCCATCGCCAATGTCAACAATGCAAATGAAAAGACCTGATACATCTGCATCTGTCCCTGGGCCAATGCTCGGGCGAGGATGGGAACGAGAGCAAAAACCAGGCGAAAAGAAGCAAGAGGCAATGAAAAATGTGCTGAACCGGGGCATGCCAGGACCAATTTCCCAGCTTGTGAAGAACTCATACCAACTGCTGTCCCCTACTGTCATCATGCAGAATCAATAGCACGGGTGTGATTCAAAATGTTCCGCAGCAAGTAAGCAAAGGCCAATCAAAGTTAGACAGAGAAAGCTGTTGCCAAGAGACGTGTCCACTGCATTCACCTCATTGAAGTCTTTGTGCTTGGCAATGGCCCTGAGGAGCGCAAAACTGTCCCGGCGTGCCGTAATTGTCGCTATTGTTGTCACTATTGAACGCACAAAAGCATCGTTTCTTGAAGATGTTTGTGTCTGGGAGATTCTCTTTGTAGACCACCTGACCACCTGCAAGCTACCGCTTGTCTTTCTTGTCTTTAGCTTCGGGGCCAGTGTTCGCTTCTTTCTGTTGTTGGCCTCGGCCTCGGCCTTCTGCCCGTCTCTTAAACAATCGCCTCTAATGCTGCGTGTTGTTTTGACAACCTTGGCTGGTTGCGCTCCTAGGTCCTAAGCGGTTTCATTGGTGCAGGCTGTGACTATTCCTTTCAGATCTTGCAAGCATTGCAAGCTTTCTCCCTTGCTCTGTCTGCTGCCATTCGGACCCACAAGCTCGGTAAAACGTGCGTGAGAAGTAATCCTGGCAGGTCTACGTCAAGCTCTCATCGGTTGGCAGAAGTGCGGCTGCCTGAACATTACGGGCAAAAACAAGTTACAAGAGTTTTATCAAGCAAAACAGGCACAAGCCAAGAACCGCAGCGGCTCAAACTAACCAGTGACGGCAATTACTATACAATCAAGAATAGGATGTCGCCTAGCGCCTAGCGGACTGCAGAGGAACCTGTATCTCTGGCTTGCCTACCTCTAAGGCTTCGGATCTGCGATCCCAGAAACTGAATGCCGATTGTGACGAATGTAATGTCCGCGAGCACGATGGCTTGCTTGCGGGCTGAGTTGAAGGCAAGCAAAGGTCCTCTGGAAGTTTCTTCAGCATCACCTGGTTAAATGCTCCCCCTTTAGTCACGGCATTCTATAACAGTGTCAAACCTCCAAACCCCAGTGTCACTGCTCAGCTTCCGACCAGGTGCAGTGCCGTCCTGCCTTCCTTCAAGGAGCTTAGGGCAAACGGTGCTCTGTGGTGAAACGACTTGGAGCATCAAAGCGTCCTTGGTTTTCTGGTTCACGTGGCGGAAGTTGGGGTGCTGGACCTGAACACTGGGCATGCGACATGCCTAGTCCCAGTCCCCTCTCCAAAGGGCCGTTAAGGTGCGGGCAAGCGCTCGACACCGCCCCTCATCGCGAGCCTCAGCTGCCTTCATGGGGAAAGCTGGCTGCGGCAGTCACACAGTTTGAAGTTTGAACATGCTCTTTAAACATGGGGCAGTATGTGGGGTCAAAGCCTATAGAACCTGCAGCACGCCAGCCTCCAGCAAAGCATATGAATTTGCCACGTCCTCTTCTCGGAGTGCTGGTAAAGGAGCCTTGGAACAGGAAACCTGCATGCAACTCATGCAGGACTCGTGCATCTCATTGAGGCACATGGCAGGCACTGCTTTTGGTCGAGGCCTTCTTCCAATCACGCCAGGTGGGTTCCTTCAGAAATCAGCAGTGCTCAGCATCCCGTGCATCCTACTGTCCCAGCATGCTTTGCCTGGGCGGCCGTGGACCCAAAAGCCTCAGCACAACGTAGTGTCTTGACAATACATCTGGAACTGCAAATGTAAACGTGTCGCGCGCTTTTGCTTCGTCACTTTATCCACCGGCTTTATTTCGATGATCATTGCTCCGAGCAATTTTGCTCCTGCATGACTGGGGCAGTTTCCCCCAGCTCAACTAACCACTATGTTTCAGTACCACATCAGGCCATAGCTGCCATAGCTTGCCAGTTCAACTTGCCAGCAAAATGCTTTGAAGTTGCTGCCACTCCTGCCGTAAACAACAACAGTTGACACTCAGCATGCTTGATGCCATCCATTGCACCACACCGCCCACTCCGACAGAGTCTGAGTGCCTCAGCTGTGGGCTTACCACCTTTGCGCATGATACGCCCTCGGCGTTCCGCATCTGGGCTGCCGAGTGTTGGGTTCACCCGGGCCAAGTTGTTGAGGTTGCCTTGGCTCTGACCGTGGGCAGTATGTAAGCAGCGCATTTTAACAAAAAAATGATTAGGGACTAGGGACTCCTAGGGACCTAAGAAGAGTTAGAAAAAAAGAAGGTGCTTGGGGCACCGTCTTTTTTAATCTGTTTTCCTCTCCTTTAGTGCGACTAGATACATATAGACTCGGCATAAAGGCTCTACAAAATCAAAAACTGCAGGATGGGCACCGTTGTCGGTGACCGTGGGCAAATCTGGATCTGCCATCCTCATGCAGTCTTCACGCAATAGGTGGATGACTCTGAAGTGTGATACATTTTAGATCTCTGAGCAAACGAATTCTCTGACAAGGTGACAAGGGGCCACTCACCATCCACGATGAATTTGTACTGATAAACACCCGGCGGCGTCTCCCGATCCAGCACAAACTCTCCGGTGGTTGAATCCTTGACCTCACAAATTACGTCTCCTAGTAGCGTCCTTGTTCCTAGTAGTAAGGCCAGGAGCCCCTAGTAGCGTCCTTGCTCCTAGTAGAAATGCCAGGAGCCCCTAGTAGGATCCTTGTGTAGTAGTAAGGCCAGGAGCCCCTAGTAGCGTCCTTGTTCCTAGTAGTAAGGCCAAGCGCTCCTAGTAGCGTACTTGCTCCTAGCAGCAATGCCAGGAGCCCCTAGTATCGTCCTTGTTCCTAGTAGTAAGGACAAGAGCCCCTAGTAGCGTCCTTGCTCCTAGTAGCGATGCCAGGAGCCCCCAGTAGCGTCCTTTTTGTGCTGCAAAAATGCAAAATGCAAAAAAGGCAGCCCGCCACGCGCAGTTCGAACTGCTTATTCTGAACTTTGATACTCAGTCCGGCACCAAAGGAATCCGCTCGTGCCAGCCGACATCTAGACCAGCAATCTCAACCTTTTTTGCCTTGAGAGACATCGACTGAATAACCAAGCACAATCCAGGGATTCCGTCAAAGGCATGCCCGGACAGCACTGCAAACCTGTCGGTCATGCACGCCTCAGGCCTTTTGATGGAGATGGTCAAGCGTCCAGATCCCATGCTGCCCGACAAAAGGTCCTTGGTGGAATACTTTGTCCCCTTCCGCAAGGTCAACAGCTCACGCCGAAAGTCCAAGAACCAGTAGGATCTAGGCACCTCACACACACTGCCGCCCGGACCATCTGCAGCTGAGGGTGGCATCTGCGCACCTGGTACCTGTGCAAGCTTCTTCAGCAACTGTTGGCACAGGGCACTGCTGCACCCAGACTCGGTTACTTCCAGCTTGTGCTGCAACTGAGAAGCAACTGGCGATATGCTTCGTCCAAATCCATACCCTCTATCATGAACCTGGCCGATCCATGACAAGTGCTCCTTCAAACCTGTTTGTTGCTGACCTTCTTTCTACTTTTCAAGTGTGATGCTCTACGCACTTGAGAAATGAGGCTCAGATATACCGTATAAGCTCAGAAAGCTTGAATATGGGCACATACATCTGGGGATGAGAGACGCTTATATAGATGGCACACTATGATGTGCAACAAGCTTATGACTTAAAGGACGAGCCCCGAAGACCCAAGTCTCAAGAGGCGGGGTTAATAGAGATGCCGAGGTTCAAATCTGACCACACCCGTGCGCAAGTGTCAGATGTGTATCTTCACGTTGCTTTAACTCTATGCGTGTCATGCTTGGCCCTTGAAACATTGTGCAGGTAGACACACAAGATAAATGAGCATAGACAGACCTTGCCGACCTGTAGACAAAAGACACAGGTCAATAAGCAATTGGACCAAAAATATGTAGAGAGACAGAGAGATAAGCACGAATGTGTGCTTTTATGTGCACATACATATGCACCCAGTAATAAGTAGAATAGCTGCCAGCAAGGCGCATATAGGCCAAGGCTGTGGCAGGAGCTCTGCCCAAGCCGGCCGTGCAATGTATGTACACCAAGGCCTGTGAAGCAACGGAAAAGTAGTGGCCAAATACTTCAACAAATCATCATGAGAAGGAATCCTCAAGCCTGAATTCAACTGATGGTTTGACCGATGCAATTTTTGGACATGAAACCTCGGGTCTGGCCGCCATTTCAGTAGCCAGGCATCGAACAGCATCAGGCACCTGCCTGCGACGGCTTTGTCAAACACATGTCACTGTCCAAGTCACTCTCCACGTGCCTGCGAAGAGAAAGAGGATCAAAGTCTCTGATAGGATGCCTCTGCCAGGTTTCTCTTGACAATCTGATGTCTGAAACACCATTTGCTCGGTTTACTCCGGATGAATGCCTTACGTGCTTGACATCCAGCTCAGCAGCACGGGCTAGAATAGGCGCCAAATCGAGTTTGAAATGGGCCATGTCCTTGATCAAATCCAGCACCCCTCCCAACTGCCTTCAAACTGCACACTCTACCAAGTGTTCACGGTCCTTGTCCTCCTGTAGGCAAAAAACAACTCCAACACCTTCACTCTTGAGCCTGACACATTGAGTCATTGTGCGGGCAGACCTGTGCTTTGTTCTGTTTTGGTCTCATCCTGCCAACATCATTTCCTTAGGGCTGTGGGGCCTGATCTCGCTGCACACCCCGAAGGAAATTACACCGGCATAGGCCCCAGATAGCGGGTGTATAGGCGTAAAGGACGCCCGCAGCACGCAACATCAGACCGTCCACCAATATGCGCAACATCTATCAGCTGAATGCGCCTGCTTTGCCCAACGCAGACCAAAAATTGCAAGATCGGCAAGGACCAGCCAAAGCTGTTCACGCGACATGATGGTCATTGCTGCACAACACGGTGTCACGCACAATATGACCGCATGTCACCCCTGGCATGACATGATGTCACCCCTGGCGTGACATGAAGGCATCCCTGCACCAGCACCAGCACGGCAGCAGCACATGCAAAGCCAAAACGCCGATCCAGAGCCAGCACAGCACCAGCACCAGCACCAGCGCGGCAGCAGAACCCGCAAAATGAAAACGCCGATCCAGAGCCACACCATTGAGAAGGTTCCAACTCCCTATAGCCTGCAGTTCTCTGAGGAAACCCTGGAGCACATTGACTTGCATTGAACGGTTCCCGAAAAAAACATTACAAGTGGTTTGCCGGAACGTTGCCTCTTTCAGTCCACACCTGTGAAATGAGAACTTTACCCTTGGTTTTAGCCCTCCTTTCTCAGCTGGTGATGGTTACTTGCATGTTTTCGCTGGAAAGTGTCTCTCCTTTTCGACCTGCAAGCTCTTCCAGCATTCAACACAACAGCCCAGGCTCCTTAGTTTTGTCAAGCCACGTATCTACATCTGCAGGGGATTGCAGGCAAGATCCAACTATTATTCGCTCGAAGCACTTGGCAAAGTTCATTCCATCCTGCACTCTCGTTTCACGTCCAGAGTCCAAATCCCCATCCACGTTCTCAACAAAGCAGTACTTCAACAAGGCACCATCCTCGTGTTTGTAAATAAGGCTGCTTCCCATTTGCTTCTTCCTTAGCTACGCATTCCAACTTAGGATTAGTCTCGGCATAGGCATTCAATGAAATTCAATCCAAGCATCATCGTCTCAGAGTATTTGGCTGATGTTTCCGCGGCATCTTTTGCATCAGCTGCCATGTTGCTAAGATAAGCCAGCCGCAATCAGGAAAGAAGAGAACAACAGAAATGATTTAAAGTGCCATCCAGGCAGCCAAGCTCATGAGCACTGATTTTGTTGGTTGCTTGCTCGAATTCTTTTGGCAGATGGGCAGGGGCTGAGTGTGGCGAGAAATGTCATTGAAGCAAGTTGCGAGCTACCAAAGGCTGCAGCATTCTGATTCATACGCAAATAGAAGCTTACAGCTTACAACACAGGATAGCACACTACAGGTTCCCTACTAGGTTCCCTATCTCTCTCTCTCTCTCTCCCGCTCTCTCGCTCTCTCACGCGCGCTCTCTCGCTCTCGCTTCTGCTTCCCTGGACTTTATCCGCAAAGTCGGATTCGGTCAAATAGTCAATTGGTGCGAGCAGCTCCAGAGGCACGGCATCACCTGCATATTATATAGCAGCGCTTTCTCACAGCTCGTCCTCACAGTGCGTCTTGATAGTGACGTCGGATGTTGCATAAGTCACGCAAGTGAGGCAAAAGCCCTGGTCCATCTGATCATCATCCAAGAAAGCCTGATCACTCTGATCAATCTCTCCAAACAGCACTTTGCCAGCACAGCTGGAGCAAGAGCCGGCACGGCATGAGTAGGGAAGCTCGAGACCCTCCTCCTCAGCCTGGTCCAAGATGTACACGTCTTCTGGGCAATCAAAGGACTGAGTACCATCAGGAGTCTCCAATGTAACCTTGAAGTGCGCTGGCACGCCAGGGCGGGCTGGCACAGTGCTTACAATGGCAGGCACCTGACCTGCAACCAGCGCGGTGCCAGAAAGGGATCGGCAGCCTGGGTGCACACTTGTCTGCGTGCCGGCAAATGCCTCCTGACCACTCTGTGAGCGGAAGAGGAGAGCGCACAAGGCACAAAGCGCAAAGATTGCAAGAGTCGGGCTTCGAGCCATTGCACTACAGTAGCTTGGATTTGCACGCGCCTTGAAAGTTCGACTGGAGCTCTGAGCCAAAATGATCAGCGTCGGTTCTCATTGCTAGCCGCTAGCCTTTCATGCTGTGGACTGCGTGCAGCAGTAAACATCCCGATGAACTGAGCCCGCAACCCGCCAGAGTTTGGAGCCGGCCCAACACCTTGCATTGGACAGCAGGAGAACACCCACGCTCCAGGCCCCTTCTACTGTGAATGGCAGGGAAACAAGGATACAGCCGGAGAAGAAGGAAGACAAGAAAATATGGAAAAGAACGGAGCAGAATAAAGATGAAATGAAAGGGGTGAGAGAGAGAGAGGGGGGGGCTCAGGCGCAAAGAGCCACAAGGGGAACATCGGCGTTAGATTCGAAGAAGCTGCCTTTTCGGTTGCCACTGTTGGCCAGTCCTGCAAGGTTCAAATCCAAGCCCTGAAGACCTTGAAGATTCCCAGTCGCCTCACACGAGTACACTGATTTCCGAATTAAAACAGGCTTGAACATGACAAGGTGTTTTGGGCCACCTTTAGTAACATGTGGCCCCCTTTGAAGGGCCTGCCTATTCGCAAGCAATCTCAAAAACCTTCTTCAGGGAACGGGCACAACTCGCACGCTTACGCACCACTGCGCACCTGCGCTGGGGCAGAACTGAAGTTCCCCAAGGCTTCAGCAATTGCAGCCAGGGTCGCTGGGTCTAAGCCTTTACGGGTCGGTCTAGACAGGTCTCAGCCTTTCATGAAGAACAAGGTCTGGCCGCGCTCTCGCCTGGGATGGCTGACAACGCTGCGTTTGCATCAACCTGGACCGAGTTTGGAGCTCGTGATGCTGGTTGTATATGGAGAGAGAGACTCATCAAAATCAAAACTCTGGCCTGTGCTGCAATCCCTGCCACAGAAATGCAAGGGATCGCAAACCAAACAGGAGTACAGGAACGGCAAGCGTTCGTACGATCGACATAACTATCCTAGCACTAGCACTGAGATGGGTTGGCCGCACAGCCAAAGTACCAAGCCAGACCATTATACCTGAAGGCGCTGGGCGGTTCCTGCCTGCCCCACATGGATTGACTGAGGGCGCCTGCAAAAATCGCCAAACTTATATAGTTGAAGCTAGCACCTGACAATCACCAGGTCTATTTGATGCCGTTTTGCAAGAATGTGCAGGCACATGCCTTGCCATATGGAGCTGGGGGTGATGAAATACTGGCCTGGGTTGAAGGGCAGTTCGACTGGCCGATTTCGCGACAGAAACACATGAGGCATGAGCCGAGCGAAGCGCACCGTAGCCGGCACCTCCTGCGTCTGTGAATCTCGGTTGCCATGTGCCAAGGATTGCCCCTCCGCCGCTTCTGCCCGGTCCGCCCGGCCCCTCCCACCGGCGATCTGTGGTTGCAACAAGGCCACGGCCTGGCACAAAACACTGCTACAGCCGCAGCTCCACGAAGCCGAGGAATCCAGCCGCTGCATACTATACATGCATTCTGTGACTCTGTGCTCATCTTGGCCAGCCCACTGCAGCAATGGTTGCCGCGTCGGCAAGTGGGGCCTCGGCAAGTGGCATCATGCACTGGATCGCATTCGCCCTGATAATTCGTTGAAGCTTCAAAGGAATTGGAGGCTGAGGGCACTGCTGCTGGGGGGTGTTGGGCCACTGCAGGCAAACTAGGCAGTGTCGGGGCTGCAGGCGCTGCTTGCCCAGTTAACCCCATTTGCGCCGGAGCCTGCAAACACGTCATGTGGCCAGGCATGGTAGCCCATTCTGAGTATCTGGGTAAACTGCCCTGAGGATGTGACCAAAGCCTGCAGGGCAGCAGCGTATGCGGCCCAATCTTGAGCCATCCTGGGAAACAATTGAGAACACCCCAGGCAAAAGGAATACCTTCCTTCAAGAGACATGAGCATGCGCGGCAAAGTCCAAGGTATGTGGAAATCGGAATAGTTGTCTTGGGCACTGCCACAAGGATCCAGTCCAAACACATGACTAGCACTATGGCTGTCTCAAGGCAATCTAGCTAAAACATCCACCAGTGAATCTACGCTGGCCGATAAAAAGAATATCCAAGAACCACGCCTCTTCTATCGGCTAAGGACCTCTGCTGGTGCTCCGCCCATCTGGACAACACGCAGTCGACCGAGTCATTGAGGTTCAAAACGCTGTGCTACAAGTGAATCGAAGGAATCGATGCTCTGACACGTGGTACTGTTGTAAGGCCATGCTTCTGCAAGTGCGCTGAGATCCTTTTGTTGGACACTCCGAAGCTCAACTCTCTGTCATGGTGGGGTGTTATAAACAGGACTCCGAACTCCTCTTAAATGCTGACCTGATACGCTCCGCTAGCTGTTCTATGAGCAAAAGGGGTGCACATTAGATTATGCAATTCAACCTCGACACTGCAGAAATCTTAAAGCCATGGACAGCGAGGTCCCAGAGCAAATTTCATTGCTTCAACTTGCTTCCAATTCAATCTCTTTTCCTCTTCCCCGAATCTCTTCGCGTCAAAGCTCGCCTTCTTTGAGCAGAACTTTGTCATCCCAAGCCATATCACATTTGGGCAAACTCTTTGGCTTCTCCTTCTTGATGGCTTGCTCAGTGGCAGTCCAAGCAACAAATGTACTGACAAACTCGTCTTGCGTCACGTTTCCATCTTCATTCAAATCAAAAAAGTCCACTTGCTGTTGCTTCAGCTTTGCACCTGTCTTGGAAAACATTTCTTGGGCCATTGTCTTGGCCTGTGCCAAATCCTTCGACACCTTGCCACCGGCCCACTTCACCATCCATTCCCAACAAGCGTTTAGATCACCAACTCTCCTGAGACGATTGTAGAACGTCCTGTAGTACCTCACAGGCACCGGAATATCAAACTGGGTAGTCAATGCTATGGTGCAGCCTTCAGCCGTATTGAGAGTTTCATGGATCCAGCCCGGTGGAAACAAAACTGCTTCACCCTCTTTGAGCGTAAATTCGAACATTGGCTTCCAGCCCAACTGATATGCAACTCCATCATCAAAAACGACTTCACCTTTTGGAGAGCGGCCAGCACCCTTTGGAAGTCGTGGGACTGGACCAATTCGCCACCGACGCTCTCCGTGAAGAACCACACTGAGGGTGCTGATGCAATGAGAATCCATGTGTGCTCTCGCTCCTGTGCCTTTGGCACCCATCCAGAATTCAGCATTGTCAAACAATGACGCCGCATTCTTCTTATCCATGAAGCTTGGGACCGAAGTTGTGATGAGGTCTCTGATGCGCTTCATGACTTTTTTGGATCCAAGGTTGCCCTGCTGATGCTCACGAACACCCCAATAAAACGGAGCAAAAGGAGGAGCAGAGGAGTCCTGCCGCAAACGTTCGTCGGCATCCTCACCCTGCTCCTGAGCTGAAGTCCAGCTCATCTTGCTGAAGTCTTGCAGGTTTTGGTCCTTCAAGGGATTGAAAGCGTCGGTGGAAGCAATTGAACTTGAACCCATTATGCATTTGAGTGATGCCCTCTCTCCTGTCTCTCTCTCTCTCTCTCCATGACTTTCCCTCTCTGTGTTTCTCCCGTTCTCTCTCCGGCTTTCTCAATGCCCGGTCTCAGGTCGGGTCAGTCCACAGATGGCATGTCTGTGTATGTATGCAATCACTACAAGGGAAATATAAATATGCGTCCATACTGCTGCCCGTGGCCTGAGGGTTCTTCACCCAGTCATACTCCCGACGCATTTTCGCATCAGGGAATTCTTGGGACAAGCGCTCGCAGCTCCAGCCCTCCAAAGCCATGCCGGCTGAAGCGTTTTCAAGGATGAGCACCTGCCCATGTCCGAACCAAGTTGGGTGAGTGTAAGAGGCGGTTGCAAGGTCATGCGAGGTGATGGACTCATTACATTTTCTTTTGGACGCCTTGCCAGATCTTGCAGCTTGCTCGAAGACCTCTGCGCTAACTGGCCAAGATAGTCGAGGAGGATCTTGGCCAGGTCTTCCTGCAATGCGAGTCCGTGGATTCTATCATCCCTACCTATTATATAAGGTAAAGGGTGGGGACCTATGTAAGTTATATACAATATCTGGGGGTGGCATGGAAAGTGAACCTTAAAAATGTAAGCTTACATGTGTCCAGGTAAAACGCTTAAAAAAAGGTAGGATACCTTCGTTCTTATGAGAAAACATGTAACTCACATTTGTTTTAGACCACCCTCAAAGACAGGAAAACAAGCTCCAATCCCCAGCCCCCTTTCCCAATCCCCAGCCTACAGCTGCTCACCTCCAAAAAAATACAAGTTGCTTTGGTCAGGTGTCCTGGAAACTACAGAAATACAATAGCAGGGCCTAAGAAAGTTCAGTCATGTTCCTTTTGCATCCTTTTATACAGCCACTAAACCCAGGAAAATGTAAGCTGTCTTTGGGTTATTCGACCCCCCCAAAAAAAGTAAAATCATAGAAATACAATAGAAGGAGCCATGGGAAGCTTCCAAGACAGGGTGCCACCATGTTTTGGGCATCGTGTTCACAATGCGTCTTACATCGTCTTGCTTCCAGCCACCTCCTTCATTTCCTGGTGAATTCCCAGGAACACGCAAGCAACACCCAGCAAAAATCCCGGTGGGGGGGGTGGCAATGAATATGGCCTCTACTTAATTAAGTAGGGTCAAAAACGAGGGGGGTGGTCAACATACATTTATCGGGTCCCTCAAAAATTGTACGTTACATTTTTTAGGTCCCCCTCCAAAATTGGATATTCTATCCACATCTAAATCTCGAACATCAAAATCTAAATCTCTCAAATGCACTATGTCACTATGTCACCGTAATGCCCAAGTCTTCCAAGGTCCTCCGAAGTACTCCGTTTCTAACGTCTCGGGCAAGCACTCTGGACAAAGCTTTGGCAGTTCCAGAAGCACACTGTGCACTGGCAATAGCATCGAAAGAAACAGAGGAGCCTCCATAGTTTTGCAATGTTTTTACAGAAACCTGCGAGGTTGCTAGTGACTAGTGCTGAACTGATTATACACCCTCTGAAGACAACTGCACGAGCTGATTGAAACCTCCACCACTTAATGTCGAACAGCCTGCAAGTGTTGCTGTTGAAAAAATTCACCACCTATATATCATCTTAATTGCATTAGTGACTTTGTGGACTTCCAGTTGTCGAAGCGCATACACCTGCAGAGCCATCATCTTTTGCAAATCAGATGTCACACTGCCCATGACTGTCACCAGGAAAGCATTCCAAGCTCAGTAGCAGGACGCTACTAGTACTCAGGTCTATGGATGGGACTTCTCCGGCCGCTCACTATACAGCCACGCTCTTCGCTTCCAGGCTGCACAATCCAGAAGTTTGCTGCGTAATGTTGGGCAGTTTCACCCAATGTCACAAACTAGAGGATTTGTGAATCCTTGTTACAGGAACTCCTTCCCCAGACATCGCTTTGATGCAAATGCGGCGCTCTTCAGGAGGGGCGGCAGCACAATGCACCTCATCAACACCGCTGCGGCTAGTCATGATCGCTTAGTGCATCACATGGACTGGAGCGCACAACCACACATCTAGCGCTCAAATTGTCATACTGAGGAGTGAGGACCGCACATCTCCACAGGTGCCAGTTGGTATTGCATGTGCATGGGCATGCCACCATACGCATTATAGCCGCTGTTCCTTGGGTTGGCGATGTAGCTCTAGCAGAGGCACAATCATGTTCCACAACTCTCCATTAAGCAAAGTGCTGCTCATATGCGCCATAGGCACCTCATTCACATCCACTAAGACTCCCAGCTTTGCTGCGTCAAGGGACAGGAACTTCAGAACTTCACATAAGATCACCACCATTTTGGCCAACCACATGCTGCGCTTCCTCCGCTTGCTCCGGCTGCATTGGCGACTGGCACACAACACAACGGCAAAACACTGAATCAGCAATCTGGCTCAACGAAACACAAACGATTGGGTCGAAAGGTCTAATGTCACAATGACAGAATAAGGACAGTGATGATATATATATATAGATAAACATGCTGATTACAGAGTGCACTTAGGCGACGGAGCGTGCCGGAGCGCAGAAGTCCCAGCTCTTTCCACTGACACCTGAGAACCTGAGCAACTTCATGCTCAGTGGCACAGTGGTTGTCTACCTCTTCAACCCCTTAGACCAACTTTTGGGCAATTTGTTTCCCTTTTTTTGTCTTGCTTCTTCTTGATCATTTTGCCCGAAATCTGGCAAGTGACCAGCCACTTGGTAGAGCACCACCTGGGCCTGCTACATTGCTCCCTGCCTTCAGCACAGCTAAAGAACAAAAAAACAAAGAACAATGCCTGTTGTCACACAAAACTGCACAAAACCAGGGATTTGGACACAATCTTTGGCTGCAGGACAGGCCAAAAACTGGCCGCTGCTGGGCGTCTGCTGGCACAGGTCACCCCCTTCCCTCAGAGATACACTTGACTTGCGCACCATTCTGACTACTGTGGACAAGCCTCACAAGCCTTGCTTGATTCAACAGGAGAAGAGAATCTAAGGGTGCTGAAGCAAGGTGTCAAGGTGCTGAAGATACTTCTGCATCGCTTCCACTGTGATCCGGTCTTTGAACGGCACCTTTTCAAGGTCGATATCACCGGTCTCCTGCACATGGACTCTTTGCAGGTGGGTGTTTGTGACATGAAGGCTGAGGGTACCAAACTCGTCCAACCATGTGCTTTTGACAAACTAACAAGGTCAAACAAGGTTCCATGTTGTGAAAGAGTGGATCTTCCATGTACTTCTCGAGAACGTCTGGCCGCGGGGCACATTCGCAGCCCACGTGTGTAGTCCTCAGTTTTTGGAAGGTCACTTGCCACCCAGCAGAAATAGCAAGTTTGGGGTCATAAAATGTCACGAGTTGATATTAAGCCGATGCAGCCACAAGGCTGCTCCTTCTCCGGCTGTTGCACTTGTTGCTGATTAGCATCTGCTTCATGACCTGAATCAGAACTCTCAAGCTCCAGCTCTACTGGACTTGCTGGAAATCCTGTGCCTGATCCTAATCTCCATGGCCCTGCCTGCGGCTTCTGAAGCAGGAGGTACACCTTGACAGGATCAGGAGGATACACTGGGCACACTTGTGGATTCTGAAATCAGCTTGGCCATGTTCAGTCCAGGTGCAGTAGTCCCACATTCGACCCTGCACGCCCAGCGCATGGTTGCGCCCAGTTGGGTCTTGCGCAGCCTCCAACTTGCTGCAGGTCGGCTCCTGAAGAGGCGACATTAATTCCAAAAGTTTGCATGATTCCGTGAAGCCCTAAAGAATTCTAATGTTTAATTCCAAGGCCGCTCCTCCTCTGCCCCAATGCGGCACCATGTGAATGGCTGTCCCTGAAGGGCACATTTGGCAGTCGCATCGCCTCACAGTTTGACTGCTTGCCGAAGGGTATGAAAACAATGCTACACAAAGGAAGGACAAGAACCAGGTTAAAGAAGAAATGGAAAGTAATTGGGGCGATCTGTCTCTTTGATGTTTTCGTTATTCCAAGTCTTCCATGTTCATGTCAACTTTTGCCGCCATCTGTTACGGTGTGGCTGTGGGAGGCACATGCACAGCCACTGGAGGTTTCTGAAACAGGAAGTGGAGGAACCCCGGCTGGCGCAGGCTCCTGGCAGCGCCAAATTGATTGTCCCAAGACGCCCCAGGGACATGAGCGTGTCCTGCGGTTCAACATCACTCGGCTGCGGCTGTGGGAGCACATCGACGGACCAGGTGGCATCTTCCATGGCAGATTCCATTTCTTCTGCACTAGCCTGCCGGCATTTCAGTCAATTATACAATAAGCCATGCAAAGCCAAAACAATCCACACAAGTCAGGGCGTGTCTATCACACACCCTCCCACCCTCCTATGCTCAAGTCAGCACGACTTTTACCTCAGGGTAGCTGTCTCTTGCTCTATCTTGACCTTTCCTGTTCCAGGTCAATCAATTGCGCCATCTTCCACCCTCCTTTGACTCTGTCGCGCCCAGCTTCGAGGTCTCTGCACTTGATGCATTCCTTGGCTTTGCCGGTCTTGTCCTTGGTGAGCTCTACTCTCACGTGGTAGGCCAGCCGCATGTGGTCTTCCACTTGTCCAGCGGCATGCCCCGCCCAGCATTCGCCACTGTGTGCCTGATCTTTCCCCTGGACGATGTTGACGCTGGACCTCCCCACAGTGCATGGAGTGGCCTGTAAGGCTGATGTCCTGAATCTGGAGGTCGACGCATCGACTCTGACCTCACTCTTGGGCTTGAGCTCCTCCTCGAACGATGCCTCCTCCCACTGTCTTTGCTGTTCTCCCAATTCCTCCTCCTGTTGTGGTCTGACTCGTCGCCCTTTTCCTCTCCCACATGGCTGCGCCGCGACCCGTGCCACCATGTTGAAGATCTCCAGCCCGCCGCGAACGCCAGGAGCAGGGATACCCCCCATACCAAAAGCGTGCAGCGGACGTAGCAGCAAGGACCCATCTGCAGCGGCGCCCCCGGACCCCAGTGCTAGGGCCGTCACGGCTGATCGAAAAGACACACGTGAGCCCCCCCCCCTCCGCACCGCGAACGAAAGGCGGCAGGACTCGAGCGACAGATTCGATCGACGACGAGGTACCTCCGACCTAGGGGCCAGCTCGCCCATCAGCATCCTTTTCCGAGACTCGTCGCGTGGCTAGTGCGTGCGCCGCACCAGGTCGCTACAGCGACTCCCACACGTTTCCAGGGTGCTGAGGCAAGCCGGCCCACGGGTTGCACTAATCTGGGGCCTGGCGGCGGGACCTTGAAGTCTTCGAGCACCTGGCCCTTGAGCTTCTTGAGACGAATCCCTTGTAGCGTCTCGGGCATGTCCCCCCGCTCGTGTGGCCTTGAGAGCCAGTCCGCCTCCTTGTTGAAGGTTTGTGGGATGTGGTATATCTCGATCTGTCGGACGTCAATGGTGTCGAGGAGGCACGCAAGCTCTGCGGCAATGTAATTCAGCGAAGGCGACGGACTGCTGAGCTTCTTAGCAATGCCTAGGGCCACCGAACTGTCTGACTTGAGGATCAGGCCCTTGCACTGAATGCGGCGTTGCCACAGCTTTGCTGCCCGCAGGATGGCGTACGCCTCGCAAACCGCTTGTGACGAGGACTGCCCGCGCTCGACCTTCAACCACTGCGCTTCCTCCGGGGTGAACGGCTTCAACAATCTGAATCCGACCGGTCTCAGCGTCCTTCTTCCACAAGATGGCTCCGACCCTCATCGGAGAAGCATCCGAGATGATGCCCCACTTGGAGCTTGAAGCCGTTGGCGTCCAACATCGCAATCAATCAGTTGAGGGCGGCTCCCAACCTTTTGACTGCTGCCAACCCCACCTTTGGCCTCTGATCACCGTCTCAACTCGCTTTAGCTCCTGGCCCGATTCGATGTCGCGCATGGCGCCCGTTATCACGGCATAGAACACTGAAGTAGTCCACCGGAGTCGTGGAAGAATGCCTGCCATCCAAGACAGGCGGCCAGTGACAGCCCGGAGCTCCTTCAAGGACACCATGCCTTTCCCTGTCCACGACACTAGGGTATCATACACCTCCTTGCACCCACGGTGATGCGCCGGCCGTTCTCTGGCTTGCGAGTCTCAAAAACCTCGAACTGTGTGCCGATCCACGTCACCCGTGTCCCCCGTTCGCCCTTCTCCAACGAGATCATGATGCCCATCGCTCTCATCGTGTACAGCATCATCGCCAAGACTTTGCATCGTTCTTCTGGTCGGCCTCGCATCGCGATCAGCAGATCATCGATGTAGATCTGTAAGGCCGCCTCGTCGGGCTTTACCATGCTCTGCAGTAGTCTGCCCAGCGCTGCGCTCAGCCGACCCATCAGCAATGGGGCTGCCTTGAACCCGAACAACATGGCCACCCACACCAACGCCTGTCCATCTCGGACATCGGTTCACCCCTCGTCACTGCAAAGTGACAGAAGGCATCCGTGAGGTCCACCAGGGCGAACTCTGACGTCCGTTGAGGATCTTCACAAACTGCGGGTTCATTCTCGTCCATCTTCCGCATTGGCTCTCAACACGTCACTCACCCTTGGCAGCACTATGTGCTCCGGCACTTCTGCTCGACTGTTGCCTCCGCTTCGCAGCATGTCTATGACGATCCTCTTCTTCACCGACCCATCCACCTTTGGTTTCAAAATCAGGGCGAGCTTTGACACTGTACCAATGCTGTACGCGTCCCTCGCCTCTGCCCAGGGCATCCGCCTGACAAACCCCTTCGCCTCGTACCTTGAGATCTCCTCTTCTGCTTCCCGCGGATGCTCTCGGATGCTCTTGAACCGAAGCTTAGTTCACCGTTTTTTGACACTCCTCGAACTCCACTTGCGCCTCCACGGACTGGATCTCTTGGTTCCTAGCCGGCGGAAAGACCCCCCCGAAGGTGGGATCTTTGAAGACATTCCCAACGGCACACCCTCTCGGATGAATTGCTGTAGGCAAAGGTCTGGGTCTTTCGAGGCGACTTGCCAAGCGTGCCATAGTTCAGGATCTAATGGCGACTTGTACTCGGTGTTGGATCGCAACAGTACACCCTCCATCTGCACCAAGCCTCCGAAAGTCGACATCATCCTGTCCCTCCAACGCTTGCACAGGTCCTCGTCGAACTTGGCCTCCCTTCCTCCATATAGGATGTTCCGAGTTCAGCGAAGTCGGGCTCTTCCACGTAGATCTTCTCCCACTCTTCCCTCAACTTTGCGCCTACCTCTCGCACCAAAGTGAGGCGCTCCACAGCGAGGTCGGGATTCCTCATCCCACCGATCGACGCGTCGTTCTCTATCTCCCTCAACTCCTTCTTAGAGATCTTCGCCATCGACCTCGGCACGCCTTGCTCGTTCCACATCGTCTCGAGCGATTTCTCCAAGGCCTGCTTTTCCCGCTTTGTATCAGCGATGGAAAGACCACGAAGTTTCCGTTCTTCGCTAATAAGCCCTTTTTGCTGCAGGCTGGAAACCTCTGAGAACCTTCATCCTGACCTGATACCGCCAAAACTCCAAGGCGAGCGATTTCTTGAATACCTCAACCACCAATTTTGCAATTGCGTCGCACAATGGTTTTGGGTACGCAGCAGCACGCTCAGTCTTGGATTTGCCTTGTAGGGATTCGTGGCGGACCCAGTTCGGACACCGGCACGTTCTTGACAAAGTCGTCTGGCTTGTACCACCGAACTCGCTCCGTCTGGTACGAGCAGGTCGCGAATTCAACATACTGTGCATCCACTTCTGTCAAATAGCCTCGAGTCTCCGGAACTGCCCAGGCCGACCCGGCTCGATCGTCACCAGGCGGATTCTCTATTGTCCCAAGGGGCGGGACTGCTCTTGCCCTGCAGCTGCCAATCTGCTTCTGCACAAGGTGTGTGGTCTGCACCGCCATCAGCGTTCCGTCCGCCTCGGCCTGTTGCTCCGGGGTGTTAGTTGAAAGCCCATATATTTCTGCTCCGCTTCGAACTGGCGGTGGACGGTCCCTGACCTGCTTTGTTCCACCTGGCTCTCGAGAAAGACCCGCACGGGAATCCTCCGTTGACGTAATCGAAAGCCCCTGCGACAATGTCCTCTTCGATGAGTTCCTTGGACGCCGGAGTGCTCAGGTCGATCTCTGGGTCCATCTTTCTGTCCAGGGATGTCGCCACGAAGTTTAGCTTGTTCTTCTTGCATTCATCCTGCAAGCTCTGGGCCAGAATGTCCTCCGGCCCGCTGAACAAATGCAGGAAGGTGAACACTCTGTTATCCTTGTAGTCCGCCAGAGTCTTTGACCGTTCGAGCTGTTTCTCGACCCTCTCTGGCATCCACACTGGCCTAGGTTCCTCCGACCCCGCCGCCTGCCCCGCTGCGGAGCTGGCAGCAGCTGCATCGGTCGTCTCCGGTTCGGCCATCTACCAAGCCGCTCCGATCGCGCCCGAACTCATGAACCAGGCTGCGGTACCCGACTGGTCCTTGGATTTCCCTCCTTTTCCTTTGCCTTTGTTCCTCGACGAACTCTCTGCATTCCGGCCTCCTTCACGAAACGCTCTGAGCTCCTCCTTTTCCGCCTTCAACCGTTTCTTCAAGGCGTCCCGTTTCTCCTTGTTGCTCTTTCTCTTTCTCCCGGGACTCTCTGCATGCTCCACCTCGCGCTTTGCTTCCATGCCAGGTAGGTGAGCTAGGACTTCAGCTTCCGATGCAATTTTCGGTGCTCCTCGGCTTCCAGCTGCAATCTAAGCTGCTGCGGGGTGATGCACTCTCTCGGCCCAAAAGGTTGCGTCCTTCACCAACTCCCTGAAGACGCATGACCAAGGGTTCAGAGGGTCCCAATCTTCTACTTGTTGACCTCTGCCTCCCTCAATGTCCAAATGCCTCCTGATCTTTTCTAGTCGTTCTGCACGAGCTGTGTCTTCGGCTGTGTATATCAGCGACCAACATTGTGGATACTGGATCACCAACTTCTCGATGTGCCTGAAGTACAGCTCCAACGCAGCCAAGTTCACGATGTTGAGCATGAGGGCTGCCCATTTGAACACCTTCCAGGAGCACGTCCAGGCTTGAAAAGAGCCCGGGCCCGGGATATCCCGATACAGGAATGACCCGTCTCCCATAGGTGTATACGTTCTGGTTTTCTGAGTCTTTGAGGTCCTCCGTCCGAAGGGCAGCCAAATTGCAAAGTCACAATAAGGGGCTTGGTTGTTTGTGAGTACTCGTTTGGCCAAGGATGCAACTTGCGAACTTGTAGGCTCCTCTGACTCCTCCGGGGCCGCTCCCATGATCGCGATGTAGTTTTGCCACCACCTGTTCACGTCCTTGGCCTCGGGAGGCATCAGTTCTGACTCGTCGCACTGGTCGATCAGGGACTGCATCTTCAAGACGTTCTCTTTCAAACCTGAACTCCCTTGGGGGTGAGGTCTCGGAGACGCAGTGGTCCCACTTCCGACTGGCGCCACGGGCTGCGCCTCAATCGGAGTTCAAGGGTCTTCATCCACGAACTGTTCCTCGGCAACTCCCGCTCTAAAGGCCATGACTCTTCGGCTCAAGCGCCACACCAACCCCACCTGCGTAGCTGCCAATGGCGTCAAAGGTCCATTTACTGTAACCGCCGCTCCGCACGCTGCCACGATAGCCCCTCGAGGGATGGCAGAAAACAAGGTAATCGAGTTACCAGGGTCTCCAAGATTCGCTACCAGGGCGGACGATCTCGTCAGCCAACTGAAACTGCGCCAAGACATCGGGCAACGATGTGAAGCTGCCCAGGTCACTCCATGACCCAAAAAGAGCCATGGAAGTATCGCGCGCTTCCTATACCTCCTTTCTTTTGGAGGTGGGTTGCTTGAGCCAAAATGGCACACAACCCACCTCCACCCATCTAAACACTACTTCCATGTGTGGCATGTTTACATGCTCAGAAGGTCGCGTTGTTAGCCACAGCATGTAAGGTGGCCTGTTCATCTTCCTTCGTGGCCGTCACTCCTGACATAGCTGCTTCCTGCCAGAATGTCTGCCAAATGCAAGCTATGTAAATACCGAATGTTTTTAGGTTTTTCCTCCGGTGGCACGAGCCAGTACCGTACCCACTAGTTGTGGCAGTGCAGCGGCCAAACGCGATACATTGAGCCTCTGCAGCTTGCATCTTCCTGGGCGATGTTGAATGCTATAAAGTTCAGAGCACGATCCTTCTCTAGTTCTGAGACTGCCCACCACATGCGGCTAGCAAGGCAAAGCCAGGCAAAGCGTCTCTTCTAATACCATTTGCTGAGCATTCTGAGCCATATCCGGGTTTGACACATCGCCAGGCCTTGGGGCAACATCAAGACAAAACAGCGTCAATCATCTGATCACTATTATCATGATCTGACGTTGATCCAGTGCGGCATGGCGACATTCCATGCAGTGCTCCAGCTTGAGGGCCAACCATACCGAGCTGTTCTTGCCCGCCGTATTCATCCATCCTTACCAGGACTGTCCGTCAAAGCTGTGTCAGCCTACCCTCCGTCCAGCAGTCATGGAAGTGGAAAAAAGCCCTGGCAAAAGGCAATGTTCCTCTTCAAGCAGGTTGTTGAAGTAAGGGCCTGTCTTGTGGCACCCTTGCACCAAAGGAAAAACACAAAGTTCTTGTTGCACTTAAGGTGCTGGTGCTGCTGGCCTCCTTGCTGTACAGCATCTTCTGGTGCTGGAGTTGGCCTGGTTCAGAGGAAACTTTGATTGATATCAATATCTCAGTTCTTCTTCCTACATGCTAGTCTTCCCCTTTCCTGTCTTCTTCTCTTGCGGGAGTTCATGTTCCAACGGCAAGCCATGAGCTTTCCGGCAGCTTTCCGGCCGCCCATGAACTTGCTCCACTAAGCTTCCCACGCTTCTACCTCGCCCTCCCCATCCGTCAAATCCACGTACTCACCCCCGGCATGTTTCATCATCCTCGAGGCAATGTCTAAATATGTCTAACTAGTTGTAAGTATTGTAATGGTTGACCACACAGCACCGAGCATCACAAACAAAGTATCATACTGCAGGCCTCAGAGCTTCTGCTAACTTATCAAGCTTCACGCCCATCAGCTGGCTCGCCCGTTCTGCATCCCCTCAAGGTCGTGCTTCCGGATTCCAGTCGGTCAGTGAGGCCGGTGACAACATTGAGCATTCTAAAGAAGCAAACACCTGCCATCTCGAACCACTGTGCCAACTCACTCCCAAGCCCAGCGCCTGCCAACTTGATGAGGTGCTGGCGGAAACGGAAAGGCTTCCCGACTTTGGTAAAGTTCATCAAATCTTGCAATTCTTGTGCGTCCTGCATGGCTCCCTGCAAATGAGCAGTGTCAAAAAAGCCTTTACCAATGGGATGGTGCCACTCCCTGCTGCACAGCTACTACACAGCTACTACAGAGTGTACATGGGCGTATATAGATCGAAACAAAGGAGCGGGGATCCACAACAGGGTCCTCTGAGAGCTTGCTCAGCAGCTGATTGACTTCGCCTGGATGGGAGGCGATCTCTTGGGCAGTATTTGCCTGAGATCAATGCAAATCAAGGGCAGTCAGGCTAGGTCTGGACTTGTCTGCTGGTAGGTGGCCGCAGCGGCTGCATTTCTAAAACGGAAGCGAGCTTTGAAGTCAATGGCCTGTGAAAGAGCCAAGATCACAAAACGGTTTTGTTTTTTCCCCCCGATCGAGTGACATAATTGTGGTCACGCCTTGGCACCAATTTCCACCAGTTGAGCCTTCGAAGCATCTGTTTCAATGTCCACTCGCCTCAAGCTGGGTTTGTTGAGTCTGGTTGTCAGCAGCATTTGGCAGCCACCAAACACAGGTTTGAAATCAGCAACCCTTCCCCTGGGCCCTAGAACCCAGCATCAAGGATAGCATGCTGGCGTTGAGATGCCACGTCAAACAGAGGCCCTATCAAATATAAATATACCAAATTTGGAATACCAGAACACCTCTCAATCAACAAAAGACACTGTGGCTTTCGAGTTAGCCTAGGCTGAAAAGCATAAAAGCCATCCAAGAATCACAACTTTCCTCTGCTTTGCACAAAATCCCCAACATCTAAAGAAACCAAACCAATCAGTTTGTTGGTCTTTGCCTTGTGCCTCAAGCCCACCAATCAATGGCCAAGCGGCTTCATCACGTCAAGAACCTTTCGAGTGTCTATCGAGCTTTCTCAGTCCGAACAACCATGTCATGTAATCCAGGGGGAGCTTTGCGGATCAACATTGGCCAGCTACAAGGATGCCAGAATTCTTGCCTGCTTTGCTTTGCCGAGGGTCTCGTTGAGGACCTGGGCTCGGCTAGGCACCACGCTCCCTCTAGAAATCAACACCAGAGCTTGTGGCCAATTGGAGTCCATGATTGTTGACTGCTGATCTGTTGCTCCTAACCAAAATCCTTTCCAGGCACCTCCTCCTTTTCTGCTCTTGTCTCCTCGGCCGCAGGATCATCATCAGCATCTGCCTTAATTCACGCACAGCCGCTAGAGCCACCAAACAGCTGGCTAATTGCAAGCCAGGCACGTCGTAGTCGTCCGGAGCACCCTCAGCAACTCAGACCACAAATACTAATAACCTCATCGTTAGTTTCTATCCAGCCTGTTGAGGCGGCTGCCCATAGCCACCTTGTCCATACCTTTGTAGGTCGCCCTGAGGTACAGAATAGAGACGAACAAGCTGGAACACAGCTCGGTCGGTGCCCACATCACCACGCTCAGCATTCTTGCACACAACCCAAGGAACCAAAAGTCCAGAGAACAAGATATCCTCTCAAACCAAGAAAAAAAAACACAACTCCAACGCGTGCAGGCCTGGAATGCCGACAAGTGGCCTCACTTCAATTTGTGACATGTGTGGTACAAAGGCTTCAACAAATATTTATAATATATATGTATACTGTGTATATATATATATACGTTGCCAATAAATAAGCAAATAGTATAACATATCTTTTTCACCATGTATACCTTTCATAGCCAATGCTTGAGTAGCGCATTGCATGTCTGGAATGTACATGTGTCTTGCTGGATTCCGCTAAGGCACGCAGCTTTACTTTAGACGAGGAGTATGCCGATGTTGGCCTTGCCGTGTAGCCCAATCACGCTTTTACTTGTTGAAGCAGTCTACTTGTTTGGCCTACCTTGAGTCATTGTTTCTATCAGTTCATCAAGTCAACTCTTGGTCAGTTTTTGGAAGACATGGGATCCGACGTGCGTCTATGCCAGCCTCCACCAGGCATGTGCTTCACCAAAAGCACTTGGCTCCGACCAATGGCATGGCCTGGCGGCTACAACGCATTTTGACAACCTCAGCATCTTTTACCACCCCTGCTTGCAAACAAGAATGCTATTCTGGACAAGCACACATTTTAATCGCTTTATCTGAACATTGCCCAGCTACAGAGAATCGGAGTGAGCCAAGCTCTTTAAGGTTCCAAGACCCATGGCCCGCAGGACGCTGCTTGCGTCATGACCAAGCAAGGTGCTATCGGATCTGCTATCGATATTCGAGGGTCATCAAGTCAACGATTGGAAACCTATACCTATACCGTACAAACATGCAAGAACAATCTCACAACATGTGATCCTTAAACTTAAACAGTGATCTTGAGAAAATCAGTCGCAATGGCAAGCCACGAGTTGCAACTAGTTGACTTGCACAGCCTGCGCGGCTCTCTCAGAGAAAAAATCACTCAGCAAGCTTGAGCCGTGATGTCCATCCATTTGCCTTGTCTGATCAGTTCTGGCACTGAATCTGCAATGTCCAAACACCTCACACAACTTATCTTGCACAAGTTCGACATGCCCATGTTTGCAGCACGCAACGTTAGTACCTATCCTACAAGCTGCTTTGCTTTGCATCCTGTACACTTTGAGCAGTCAGAAACCTTGGCTGTACCTGTGCTTCAATGAGATTTCAGCTCTGGAGTTGATGTGCATTGAAGATCATTGAAGGCACAGGCAGCAAGTGGTGGCAGCAAAGGCTAGTATGTACATGGCGGGCAGGTTCTACACGAAGAACCCTACAAAGACGTGCAAGGAACCTGAAAACTTCCAAACCAAGAGTTGAACTTCTAGTTGATCGCCACGGGGTTTTGCTTGAGTTTGAGATCATGCTCGGTTCCCTGTGCCCTGAATTTTCCAGGGCGAACGGAATGGTCCCTGGTTCCAGGGACATTTGGAACCTCAGGAGTCGCAGGTAGAAAAGCACCTGTTCCGTGACTGTGAGGCCCGTGAAGGCCCACACAGGTCCTACACAGGTCCTAGTCATCAGTGGTGGAACGACACGTGCCCTTCTGAACATATTTATCGATTGAAGAATTCAAGGCTTGTGGCGCGGTGCATCGCAACTTTTTCCAGTTGGCCGTTCTTCTTTCCAAGCCGTCTCTGCACAGTCTGCACTTGAGCTGGTCTAGTTCTCCTCCTCATCCTTATCGTCGTTGATGTTGAAGTAGCCTCATGGTCATCAAGGTTGAGAAACATGGAAACTGATTCGTTGAATAGACCTGTCCGCGACCAGCATAGCCTACACTTAATATGCCAGGCTGCGCATCTCGTAGGAGGTCTTGGATGGTGCCACGATGCGAAGAAAGTCACGAAGCTGCTGAGACTGTCAGAAACGAGTGTCGATTCAACAACCGTTGACAACTTATGCTTGACGACTGTAATCCAGTGGCTGTAAACACAAGAGCCACCATTCTGCTCAGGGGATGCAAACGTACAAGTATCTCCGAGATACCCAAGCAACTATGACCAATACAGCCAGCACCCATGCCTTCAAGTACTTCTTTCCCAGGTACTTCCTGCAGCGTCACAGATCCCTACCAACTCCATCTTGTTCGGCTCGATATACGCTGTTCATATTGTAGAGAGTCTTGTCCGGGAACTAGGTGGTGGATGAGCACATTACGCAAATTGCAAGTAGGGTGTTTCGAGCCAGCTGAGTGTTGAGCTAGATTTAGCTATATAGTCCGATAAGTGATGAGCCAGTACAACCTAGCATATATTTGGCGGGATGTCATGATGGCTTCTTGTATAGCTCTCTGGACCACACCCTAGAGGGCTGAGCATTCTGCTAGTCGCTGAGCAGCAAGGACATCTACATTCTGCTGTCTCAATGACAATGTTGTGAAACTGAGGCCACTGCTGTGAAATCCATGAAAACCCTTTGCAACCGACAACAATGCCGTTCATTGAGAGAAGTAAATGATGAAGCAGAATGCTCAATTTTTGTGGCGAAAACGAATGTTGGGCAGTGATCCTGTTGTCAGGTGAACACAGCAGCCCGCTGGGAAAGGATTTGGAAAAGTGCTCATCCATATGCGACCGGAGCCGCCAACAACAACATAATGTGTACCATATCCAGCCCAGAACCTTTTCCCTTGCCCATTGTGCTTCATACATCGGGGGCAGAAACTCGGCCCCCAAACGTTCTAAGAACTTGCTCCGAGTACTTTTATATATATATACAGTATATACTGTATACTAGAAGGTATCGGAGGGTCCAACCAGTATGGCTCCAAGACTTTTTTGATCGGAATGCCTGCTTTCGGCAGCCTGAAATTTGACACAAACCGGCCTACAGTTTAAGGAAAGCAGCAAAAATACAGTGCCGAGGTGCAAGTAGCGCTTGGAGAAGGGAGCCTCGTAGCAAAGAAAATGATGGCCCATCAAATGGCTACAATCCAACCACTGCCTCGGCAGTGACATGCACCTTGTTCTTCTCCCGCGCAACCGTCACCTCTCAAAGAGGCAAGAGAGCTTTTCGAGGACCGCTTTGGGGTCTAAATGGTGCAGCATCTCTGCGTCTGTCCTGCATCCATACGACACTGCCTACCAAAGGGCGGGGCCTTGTCACCCAGGTTGCCAGCCTTGCCATCTACCTGTCAATGATTGAGAACCCTGAAGGCCACCAACTCTTGTTACTGACCATTTCACGTGAATCTTTGGCGTTGGCCCTGCCTTGATTCGGCTAGTCAGGAACTTTTCGAAGTCCTCCAATAACAAAAAGTTAGCAGACAAAGTGGTCAAATTCATCGACAGTGCTAGGTTTCTCGCTACTCAGCTCATGCCCCCCAACGTCCTTGGGCTCGATAATGTTGTCATCAGCTGGCTGCTGACAGTCGATGGTGAACTTCACAGTCTGAGGCACCATGCACCACAACACACTTTCCCTATGCAGGCCCTACGGTATGCTTCCTTAAGTTCACCGTTGTCAAACTCCACTCTGGTTCAAAGTTCCAGTGTGCTGAAATCTTGTCTGAGATCTCAACTGACTTCTTGGCTGGGACCCCCTTCTTCTTCCTGAATTTGCTGAAACTTGCTTTACGACGTATGCGCCATTCGTGCGAATCTGCGAATCAAGCCCGACCGGGCATACTTCTGCCGAGGTGCGCAACTCCGACCTTCGCCACCATCTTGAATGGCAAGAACACCGGGCCAAACGATCCTACCCTTGAGCATCCATGTGGCGCCGCGTGACTTCACACTCACACAGGCCATTATTGCATCATCGGCACATAGGCAAGAGGATCAATGACTGAATAATTGATCAAAAGGCTTGTCATAAACAAATCTTGCACCTTAGCCGCCTTAGCCTCGAGCTTTATGGCGTGCGGGGTACCTCACCGAAGAAAGAGCATGTGTGACCTTGCCAGCACATGCTTTGCAAGTGATGCATTCACAAAGTCTGCCTGGCTGCTTTTGAGGTGGCAAAGGCATTTTTTAGCCTTGGAATTGATAAACTGCTGCAGTATGAGTTTAAATGCACCGATATTTGCACAATTACATAAAGCGTATCACTGCAAATTATGAGCACGGGTGTCAAACACTGCCAAGCGCAAAGCAACTTGTAGAGGTACGCTGGCCAACTCTTGACCTTGAATGAGAGAGTGCGAGTCGCTCCCTCAACCCCAACCTTTGCACGACAGACATCATTGTTCAAGCTTCCACCTTTCTGGCCTCTGGCAAGTTGCATCATATTGGAGTAACAACCACACCAGCTCTAAAGTCTGGGGCCCCGGCACTCTCTCTGGGGCGACGTTCGACAGTTGCACGCACCTGCAATTAGGATGTGTTCTTTTTTCCGGATTCTTTATTTGGACGCCTGCGCTAACCGCTAACACTTTTCACATTACTCACCTAATGTTTGATTTGATTCTGAAAAATTGTTGATCGCTTTTTTAACTTTGAGGAGCCGTAAATCAAGCGAGCCCATGATCTCCGTAAGCGCGTCTTTTTGTGTGGCTGCGAGGTCTGGGCACCGGCCATGGATTTTCCCATGGCCTTGACTCCAAAGCCAAAAGACCGTCTCGACCTGGAAAAAATGCTTCATGCGGGTGTCTGTGACTGTGGCTTTGAAATTAAGCGGCCACATAGCCACAGTACGAATGTTGCGGTACTGGTGAAACACGGTGTCCCAAAGGGTGATGAAATGAGCAAACTTGGGCCCGGCAGCAACAGAGTGTCCAAAGACGTGGCAGCTTTGTGGTTCACACGAAAACGGCCAAATTGGGCGGCCAAATTGGGCCATCTGCAACCCTTTGGGAGAGTCGTTGCCTGGTATCGGGGACAAGGCTTTTGACTTGCCTCTCTTGCCGAATCAGTGGAGATCAGAAATATTTTTCCAGGCTTTGCGTATGCACATGCAGCGCAGCTTTCACGGCCACCGTTGCTTGCGTATGAAATCACAAGATCTACAGTAGTTGCCAGGGCATGGTTTTCCTTAACAATCCAACCATGAGTTTGACGCAAATCCTGCAGGACATTATATATATATATATAGTCAAAGAATCAGGCCTGGGCCTGGGCTCTTTCCTCTTCAAATACAGGCTTGGCATCCAAGTCGCGCCCGGGATGTCCTGAGCGCCATTACCAACAACCCAGATCAGCGCATGGAGTGGAGTGAGACACCGCTCCGAGAGTGCAGAGGCTTTAGAAATGCGAGAGTGCCCCATGATGCCATATGTATCTCATTAGTTAATACTTCGTCGACTGCATTCTTAGTGCCAATTGTCGAATGCCTCATAAGAGTTGCAGCCTGCCCTTCAGCCTTCCCACCCTGGGGCTGATAATCTCCGCTACGTCTCTGCTCCAGTGTCATTGCTTCTGTGGTGGGCTGACCACAGCAAGACGGATTTGGTGCTCATATTCATCCAGCGAAGGTCCCCATCGGAATGATCGGGACATCGCCTACAGCGCAAGAAAGTACAAATCAGGAGAGAGTGATCATGATATGATCCAAGTTAAAGTTGTGACCTTGACCTTCTCAGCGCCCCTTCTGAGCCCCAATGATGCTGAGACAGGACACATTGCGCTGCAGTTGCCTTGGCTGATTCAAAGTCACAAAACAGCCCCCCCCCCAAAAAAACAAGGTGAGCCCGCGGACCCAAAAGCAAAAAGAAGCGTGCAACCCGGGAAAAATACACAAACACACATTAGCAGGCCAAAACGAAGCATCAGCCCCCTCCAGGCTTCGTGGCAACCATGATATTTCAAGCATCGCGCCTCTGGTGCGCACCTGTCCGCCCCTGTCTGCCATATACACCCCCGTCCACGCCTTGGTCAGCTTTGAAAGCCCCCCACGATAAAACGATTGCAACATGGCTACTAACAACCCTTCCACGAAGCGTGGAGCAGCATCAGCTCCCTCCATGCTTCGTTCCGACCATGAAATTTGAAGCATTGCGGTTCTGGCACGCAACCATCCTGCCGTTTCTGCAATGACTTGGGCTGTCTTCGGCATAGATTGCACACATTCTGGACTGGTCAATCCCCATTGCGACATGGCTTCTGACAACCGTTCCAGGAAGCATGGAGCAGCATCGGCCCCCTCCATGTTTTTTTCCAACCATCAAATTTCAAGCATTGCGGTTCTGGCATGCAACAATCCTGCCGTTTCGGCCATGACAAGACTGTCTGGCGCATGCATTGTGCACATTTTGGACACCCAAGACCATCATATAATCCCTGCAACACAGCTCCCCTCGCGTCAGAACGTGCTTCCGCGAAGCATGGAGGAGAACTACCCCCACCCATGCTTCGTTCTACTTGTGAACTGACCCGGAGCAGCCTGCAATGATGCTTGTGGTGCAACCATGTCCTCGTAACTAGCAAATCAGCCGCGCAAGATCGACTCACGCACTTCCCGTCTCGCGACCCTTTCCTGCCCCAGCTCCGTCCACGCCCATGCACATCCCGTCGCGCTCCCCCGTGTCGCGCCCCCTCCCTTCCTTCCACAGCGCCGTCCACACCCATGCCCTCCCCACCCCCATCCACACCCACGCACCTCCCGTCTCGCGCCCCTCCCTTCCTTCCCCAGCCGGTCCACACCCACCCGCCTCCCATCTTCCCTTCCTTCCCCAGCACCCCAGCTCCGTCCCCACCCATGCGCCTCCCGTCTCGCTCCCCTCAATCTTCCCCCCCACTGCTCCGTCCACACCCACGCGCCTCCCATCTCGCTCCCCTCCATGGGCTGGGACGGGTGGGGAGGGGACGATGGAGGGGAGCAAGACGGAAGGCGGATGGGTGGGGACCGGGCTGGGAAAGGGAAGATGGAGGGAGCGAGAATGGTTGGGGACGGGGTTGGGGAGGAAAATGGGTGGGGACGGGGCTGGGGAGGGAAGATGGAGGGGAGCGAGACGGGCCGATTGAGTGGCCACTTTTCCAAGAGTCCAAAGCTCCCATCAACAGAGTCGCATCAGGGACGTTCACCCTGAGAACGTCACATGTCAAAGTCTGCAAAACAAGCGTTTCGTACGAGACTTCCTCCAAAAGTCAAGCGGAAACACCCATCGGAGCACACACATCACGTAGCCCTGCCAAGCAGTTTCGGGATTCCAGCCCTTTCAAACAACACCCGCTCACACGCCAATCCCAATGTGACAGTGACATTCACCTCTACCACAACTCACAACCTCACGATTCCCTGCGCCTGCCACGAATCTTTCCGCGTCCATACGTCTAACGCGCACAAAGTACTGCGCCTGCCACGAAATGTCACCTCCGTCACACCTCGCAACCTCACGATTCCCTGCGCCTGCCACGAAAATCACACTTCCACACCTCAAAACCCGCACAAAGTACTGCGCCTGCCACGAAAAGTGACAATATCATCTCATGTGAGCTTCAACAAAATTTGCACCACACCACACGTTTGGAGTGATTTCGACCCGTTCTGAGCACACTCCCATCCACCAAAATCGCCATTTCAGCTGAGACTTGTCACGAAAACAGGGCTTCCATGCCACACCCTGAAACGCAAATCCCAATGGCACGGCCACATCCAACACCCCAAAAACACAACTCTCCAAACGCTAATCCTAATGGAACTGCGCAGCAAACTGCGGATCTCACAAAACGCTGCGCCTGCGCAGTGAAATCATCCTCCACACTTCAACATCTTACATTTCCACACGAGTCCTCATTATTTCACACGAATCTGACACGTCGCGTTTTCATCCGAAACCCTCTCCAAAAGCTTCCCCCAATGGCAGCGCCTTAGCGCTCTACTGCGAACGGTTGCGGACGGTTGCGAACGGTTGCGGACGGTTGCGGACGGTTGCGAACGGTTGCGGATGGTTGCGGACGGTTGCGAACTTAGAAACAATGGGTCACGAACAAGGCTCTACCCCCAGACCCCCAGAGTTAAACGAGAACCCTTTGCTACGCATTCGGGAACAACGCTGTGAAATGCGTCGATGCAAACCGCCTCCGAATGCCATGCAGTATTGTTTGGCCGAGTTTCTGGAAGCGTCCTGGATTGTGAAAGTAGAGTGCGGAAGCTTCTCGTAGAGCCTCACCATGAATCATTCTCGGAAGAGGCTTCACGGAATTTTGAGGTTCAGTCCAGCCTGGCGCACTCCAAATTCGGTCACTGGGGGGTGGATCAAGAAGCCAGTCGCATCCTGCTCCTCAATGCCTCCCGGCGCACTCAGGGCTCTCCGGGCTCAAACAAAGCAAACCTGCAAAATGAGGCAAGCCACGCCTTTCACACAGTCCTTCAAGCCACCAGTCGCTGTGGCAATGACGACGGCCCCATATAAAGCAGCTGCCATCCTCGGAGGCCACAAGAATACTCTGCATACAATTCAGATGCGGTAGATGCGACATCAGTCGCTTATATAGCAACTCCAAGCCACAAATTTACATGAAAATGGGTTGGGTAAGTCAACAAAGGATCTGAGGAAGACCGCATGGTTCGTAGCGGGAAGGCATCAAAATGAAATCACAGCCTGTGCAGCGTGGTGCGGCGAACGAAATCAGGTGTCACACTGCGTAGCGGTGTATCAGAACCCGCCTGCCATCATCTGGTGCTCGAGGATTGGATCGAAGCCTTTCCACAAGCTAAATATCTTGAACATTAAGAGCACAATTTCTAGTGTAAAAAGGTCCTTGACACACACGGCACCGGGCAAAGCTTTGCAAGGCTGAGCTAGAACAAGAAAAGGAATATAAATATATATATAGTTATATATAGAGAGGCGACAACATCTTGCAACAGTCATCGACAGGCCATGAGACCGGTGTAGCCGCAAACAGCTCCACGATGTCTCATTTCAAGGTCATGCACCAAATGCTGGTATTGCTGCCTAGGATGTTAATCCACGGACTGTTGACTACTCTGCGCCACATAATAACATAAGACACCTCTTGCCTAGCAAACTCCTCAGTGGGTCAACACAAAACCGCCGCCAAGGGTCTCCCCTTCACCCATGAGCACCACTTGCGCACGTCCTGGGAATCCTTGCAGCCCATTGCCCAATAGCCACGACAATGCCCTGGTCAGAACATCCACGCCTGGCAATGGAACCGCTCTGGCGAACCGCTCTTCACTCTTGGAGTGAGCAAGTGCCCTTCCTCGCTACCGTCACTGAGGCCAAGGCCCTTCTGCCAGGTCAGCCGCCCTACAAAGCCAAAAACAACCTGACATGCTCACTCGGCAGGTTCTGGATATAAGGCTGTGAGTGGGCAAGCCACAAGCTTACTGCTCAAAACATAGAACAGGTCTTGGTTAACTCGCACACGGTACGTTATACATTGCTAGATCAGGGTATGTCAAC